TAGTGTTGCATTCTTTCCTGCATTGCACGGAACTGGTCCACACAGTCGTACCCCTTTATTTCTTCTGTGCTATAGTGGAAACAAGAAAAGGCTGACTTGAACTGTTCCCCACAGGGACCACTAGCCATTCCACCCAGACACGGGCAATTCCAATTGATATCTCCGTTGGGCAATATCAGTCCTGAACAAACAAGAGAGAAGAAAAGTTAAGCGCTCCCTTCCAAAAATTTATTTCATTCAGTGAAAGCTGCTAGGTTGCAGGTGTAAGCTGAAGTACTAACAATGCCACATTAGTTCTGTAGCTTCAAGGGTGCTAAATACCTTTTGCTACCTGGCCAGTCTGTTTCTGTCTCTGATCTGTACAGAATCATAGAATGGTTTGGGCTGGAAGGGACCTTAAAAATTATCGACTTCCAACCCCTTCCACTAGCCCAGGTTGCCCAAAGCCTCATCCAGCCTGGCCTTGAACACCTCCAGGGATGGGACATCCACAGCTTCTCTGGGCCACCTGTTCCAGTGCCTCACCACCTTCACAGTAAAAAATTTGTTCCTAGTATCTGATCTAAATCTACTCTCTTTCAGCTTAAAACCATTACTCCTTGTGAAATTAGGTCTACATCCATGCCTGAATTAAATCTCTCTCCCTGAACTACAGACCACTGAGAATATTGTAAGGAAACCACAAAGCAGATCAAAGTCAAGTCAATTCACTTGCCAGACTCTGCCAGGAGAACAAGCAAGCCTTAAAATCATGTCATACAAGGCATAAGAATTTAGTATTAAGACTAGAATTCTTTTAAATCAAGTTGCATGGATGCATGTTTCTTCTTGTTTGAAATGAACTTTGGAACACTAACACACAACCTTGCCCCTTCAAATTTGAACTGGAAAACCAGAGTTACAACAATGAAAATCAGTTTATTTGTAACAGATTAAGTTACATGCCACAAAACACAAGGAATAGCGAGAGCATGTCAGCCTGTCCCGCTCCCAGAAACCAAATTGCGCTTTAGATCACAACTGAAAGTAAGTTAGGTCTCATTTTAGACTCTGCACTGGAACAGCTGTACATTTCTGCTCTGGAACAGTTAAGTCATCACAGAAATACTTCAGTGATGGAATAGCAAGGTGAAGATTTAAGTGTGCATATGTTCTGTGAGACATCAACTGATTTGCACAGTGAAGTTCAAGCAGCAAGCCAGAGAACTAATTTCCTCTCTATGTTTTAGGAAACCTTTTAAACAGTGAGGTATATAACTGTAATACAACAAACTTGGTCATGTGGGCTTCTAGAGCCTCCAATAGATTGCTCTAAAGCAAACATCTCCATTCCCTTTCTCTGCTTTGCATGAACACAGATGTAGTTATGTTCATCCACAAAGAATAAGAGAAATAACCATGCTGTGATCCAAGCTGGTTTCTTCTTCACTTTAACAATTTGCTCTTCTCTCTAGTAGACTTCCCTAACTTCATCTCCAGGTTGGGTTTCTGCAGAAGCTAACAGTATGTGCATAAACCTCGAGTTTAAGTCCTTTTAGAAGCAGGTAGGAAAATACCACTGTCAGAGAATAAAGTTGCATTCATTCTGATCTGAACATGAAATTATATTTAGGGCCTGATGTAACCTGACATTACCTAAAATACTCCCACAGAATTCAATAAGCCTACTTACTGTCTTTGTCCTGTGGGATCATGAAGTTCCAGATGTATGTTTCACTCCCACTAGCAACTCCTTGGACACTAGGCTACACTACCATGAATTTTAGGTATGGGTACTAGCAAAAGCAGCTCAATCATATTTACTGCTATATCAAAAGGAAGGAAAGGAAAATTTACTCTGATTTGCAATCCATTAATGATGTGCTCTCTGTCAACGCAGTTCAGCAGAAAATTACACTGTCAGTCAAATCTCAGTGCTGATCCTTTCCATTACAGGAAGTAACATCCTCCTTGGCATGATTTAGTGAACCACAGTAACACTGACACTTTTCACAGATCACACTTTATTTGGCAAGATAGTTTTGTAAAATATCTGTAATAATCACTGTATTGAGAAGATATACCTCGTACAGTGTATCACAGCATCTCTAGCTGCCTGGAGGAAAAGCAGAACTTCTGAGACAAGGAAATGGATGGCTGGTGCCAGATTCCTTATTGCCAAGGATGACATAAAGCAGAAAGATGTTGATCACACAGTGTGGAAGAAATATGACTTGCTTTGTAAACTAGATTTTGAAGTCCTATATTCCTCCTCGCTAACATCAGCCAGTTATTTGAAACAGTCATTTTTCTAATACTTCAAAAAGAAAAAAACACATGAAGTTTCGAAACGTTCCTGAAGACACCACAGCAATCAAATTACTTGTAAAATAATTCACTTAAAATAAAGTGTTCCTTTAGAACTGCCTTCTAAGCATGTGAATTTTAACAACAATGTAAGAGTTATCCCACAAACAATACATCTTGTATACCACATGAGCATGGATTTGCATCTATTTGATCACTGAAATAGCATCAGTTTGAGATGTTATATGCACAGAAACCATGTTTTAAAAAACAAAGCAAAAACACAGATAAATAAGGCAAGCATTTCCTCACTGATAATTACAGCAGAAAGCACACTTCAATAATCAAGTGTATCAGCTAGCTTAGAACACAAAATGGAAACAGATTCCATCCATCGCTCTCCCTGAATTGCAAGTCTGCAAAAGATGGGATACTATTTTTGATTAAAACTGAATTAAAACTTCTTTCAAATGCAGCCTGAACCTGACTGATCTAGTGGGTCATAATCTACTTGAGCCTGCACTTGGGGAAGAAAAATCAACTCTGTTTACATCATAGCAGATCAAGGCTTGTGTTAGCAATTAACTACTGACATCACACAACCTCATCTCTCTTAGCTCATGGAATCTGTTAATACCATGGATGAAGGCAGGCTCATCTGCATTTATGTCAACACTTGTCTTTGTACTTGCTCTAATGAAGTCTCACTGTTGCTTTTAGAAAAGTTTCTTCCCTGTCAGATGACAAACATTCCAACAGGAAGTTTAAGTGCCAATGACTCACAGTGTAAGGTGATAGATACATAGGGAGCAGGACTGAAAGGGACATCGTCAGTCATATGAACAGTCCGGTACACCTCATCATTCATTAAGTTCTTTCTTAAAAGAATTAGGGTTTTTTTGCTTCATCAGTCCTCTGTGGAAACCATTTCAAAACTGCCTCTAAAACAAGATGACAGGAACAAGCCTGGAGAAGGCAAATAACAGCAACAACCTGTGTTTGAGGTGCAAGCCCAGAAGCACTTTTAGCCAACTCTCCTGTCACAGATGTAATGCTCATAAAAATTACTTTTCATGCATAAAACTCACCAGTGCCTTCTTCATATAAGCCTAATAAAATACGAAATTATTCTGATGTGAGCAAAGATCTCAATGAAAGCTAGTGATCTTTCACATTTAAATTCTTCCATCTGCAACATATAAGACCAGAAACAAGCTCTACAGTGAGAATACTATTTCAAAACTCCTGCAAATGAATTCTTAATTTGTTTCCATCAGCAACAGCTGTTATAAGGCACATGCAGTGCATTGAGATACTCTGCAATATGAAATACTAACTTGAATCTACACTGGTTTGTCTGCCTTCACTTTTCACATGGCTTCATTTCTTTCCATGTTTTTGGTTTAAAGTGAACCATTAACACTTTGACTACCAAAAATCTCATAATTGACAGAAAAAAATAAATAATCCCATAACTGATAGAAATAAAAAAAAAGAATACTATACAACTTTATTTTCTCCTAAGGGAAACAGACCACAAATTTACTTTAATCAGTAGATCACTCAGGAAGACTGTTCAAAGATTGCCTGAAGCAAAATAAGAACTATCCCAAAATACCAAACTACACTTATATTAAGTATGAAAAAAAGCCCCTACAAAAAAACAAAATCTCAAATAAAAGTTTCAGCTGTATTAGAAAACAATACAGATTATGGTATAGCTATGTAATAAATACATTCTCCCCCAGATATGACTGTTCTGCGTATAGCACAGCAGAAAAGATGAAAAGAGTCATTACAGTTAATTATGCCACAGAAGTTGAACACTGGAAACCACGTCTTCTATTCAAAGTGGAAGCTAAATTGGAAAAGCCTGCATGTTACTTTATATACAGCAAAGCCCCTTCCAATTTTCTTTTAAATAAAAACCACACGAGCCAGAGCTTCTCCACTTCAACATATTCCGAAACATTTTGCCCATATGTCTTTCCTGTCCCCAAGTTTCACTCCCATTAGATGCAGTTACACTGTGATATGTCAATTGTTTCTCTGTTTTGATATCATGTGTTGTAGCCTGAGATCATTCAAGTGAGTTTTCAGAGAACCTTTAAAACATGGCAGTAACTTACCACATGCTAAGAAAAAAACCAAAACAATAACCCCCCCTCCCAACCCCAACCCAAGCTTATAAACAGTATTTAAACATAGTGTACAGTGTTTCTCTTTTTGAATCACACAGACACACATTTTCACTGCAAGATATCCCCGACATAACTAGCTTCTGACTTTCTCTGCTTTCTTCTCTGCTCTACAGTTTATGAAGCAAGTGATCTAACATGCTGTAAATACAGGATTGGTAGGAAAAAAAAACCTAGCACCTCCCCTCCTCACCATGGCCTTTCCATATCCAGCAAAATACACATAAGAGGAATCAATGAATATGGCATTTAAACAAAGAGGCAGTGGCTGTTTTAATTTTGGCTAGTTTATTACCCAAATACATGGCACAAGACTATATACTTGTGGTATATGTACAACCAGAAAAAGAATAATTTGGGGTGGAGGGGTGGGGTGTGAGACAGAAGGAAGAGAATCCCCTCTTTAGAGGTACCAGGAGAATTGTTTTCTATGTTCACATTCCAAGCCTTTGTAGTATGTCTCTCCATTATGCTAGATCCAAGACAGGCATCCTTCCCTTTCCTCTTAAAAGCTGGTGTCAAAAATAGATGCTTAGTTATAGGAACAATATGCATCCACATGCTCCTGCTGCATAGACACCTTTTACTAACAGAATATTTAATTATCACCAAAGACCACGAATGATCATAAGGGGGAAGATATACACCACACAAGGTGACTTAACAGTTCAGTGAACAATAAAATTTCCAAGGGTTTGTATGTTTTCCAGATGTGACATCTAGAAAAAGTATCTTTCTTTGCTTTATTTTCCAAGCAGTCTCCAGTTTTTCAGAGGAAACAGAAAGCCACAGGCCACAGAAAAGGAATGGGGAACTTAATTCCATCATCTGATCATTAGAGGCTGTTAACTCTTCACTCAACAGACCAACAATGGATTTTAAATTTTCCTGAGACAGGAGTTAAAAAACTCTGATTTTGTTTCACTTCCATGTAGCATACTGACAGGAGCAAGTACTCTTAAAAATGAGCTCTCCTCAGGCATTGTTTTCCACCTGAGGATGAACTACTGTATGTGAATCATTTGTAGGTTCCATCTTCCATCCTGGTCAAGGCAGTAACAGATATAAGTGCCACGTAGATTTTATTGCCTGTAAGGGTCTCTATTTGAAATCTTTAGGGGCTAAAGCACCATTCCCACAGTGAAGATGATGACAAATCCCAAAGCATAGACTGTTTCCACCAAAGAGGCAGTTTGGGTATTGGGTCTTGATAATCAGCAAAACAACCTACCTAAAAATATGAGGTAGAAGAATTCCTGACAGATACTAAACTGCAGGTTTTAAACACCTTTCTGAAACTGAAATTCTCTCATTGTTCTCATTCGGATCAATATAAAACAGAATAGACTTATCACCGCTGACAAGCAAAACTTTTAGATGTATCTACTGACTACATATAGTTGTAACTAAGCCAACAGAGGCATCTAAATGCAAAATAATTTCAACACAACTCTATGTATGAAAAAAGTTATTTTAATGACACAGGAAGATATGGTTCAAATTAAACTACATACACAAAGTGACCCTGTGTGCTTCAGCTGCTAAACTGTGCTTAAATACTGCCCTCTAAAGGTTACAGAGCCACCCGTGTAACTTTTACTTTCTATCAAAATTGGAAAAAGGGCAAAAACCTCAATCTCAGCTGAGTTGAAGAGGCTAAAAGATCCACAAGCATAAAGGCAATTAAAAAAAATCAACCCAAATTCACAGATATTCATGGCAATTTATTACCCTAGGGCAAAATGTATTTAATCATCATGATAGGAAGATTATTTCATTTGCCCATTAGAAACAACCTAAAATATTAATCAGAATATTGCAAGTCTTGATCTCAGAAATATTCTTCCCTCTTAAATCTCCATTTTCTGGTTAGATCTACTTCATATAAGAGTTGTAATCTTCACTGAAAACTTTAACTTGCATCTTTTCAATGTAAGATGGTTACAGTTGAAAACTAAGTAATGTGAACTTACCCGGCATGTGCCATTGAAAGATATTACTCCTAGTTACTGATTATATCACTACTAGTATACTACAGGATTAGTCAGATATAATTTATATTAAATCAGCTATTCAGAGCTCACCAGATTAGGCAACTTCAGCTGCACACAGGTAGGTGAGCAATTCATATCAAAGACACTGGTATGTAACTCACTTCTGCTTCTCTGAAAATTGCACTTTGTCATTTAAAACAGTGAACAAAGAACCATAATTTTCACTGGTTAAGCTCTACCTTTGTTAATAAAAGAAAGGACGAAAAACTTTTTTCTGGGTGTCCCTGGCTACAAACCAAAACTATAAGCCATCAATCGATCTATTTGAACAGGCCACTTTGAAAGATTATTAAAAGTGTAGAAAAAAACGACAGTGTAAGGAAAGCATGTAAATTGTGATGTCCTGATTTGGAAGTTAAAACTGCTAAGAGTTTGGGTGCTTATCTACTGAATACCCAGCTGCCCTTAGTCTTTAAAAATGAATTAATAATTTGTTCCTACTTCATACAAGGTTTGTTTTTCATTGTTCTTGGTTTTAAAAATTGTTAGAATATTATATATGTGATGTATCACTCCTTACTTCTCTTCTGCTTTCTACTGACCTTGCTCTTCATAAGGGTCATCTGGGTCATCTGCAACCAGCTCAGCACTGCTTGGTGTCTCGTGGTCCTCCTTGGTCGCAAATATAATTCTGTCTTTTCCTACCATAGGAGACAACAAGCAAAAATTCAGAGAAAGCTGAGACAGGAAGAGACATTGACAAAGCTGCTGAACACCACAAGGTAATGAGATATTCAACATGATGCATTAATGTTAATAGCGAATGAACTGTTGCACTTATCAATCACCTTCAATTAGAACAGTTGTTGGTTCAGCGGATCACATACACAACGGAAATTCTATTCTTCTAAAGTTCCAATTTTCACAGCAATGTACTGTAATGGCTGCAGGTCATGGTACAGTTCATTGAAGCTGTTCTAAAACAAGCTTAAACTACTCCATTACCAGGACCAACCCTGGTGAAGGGGTTAGACAAAAAAAAGAAACAGTGAATGAAAAACTAGACTGAACTACAGGAAAGTGTTCAACAAGATACTTATTAATAACAGCACTCTCCATCAAAGACTGGTGTAATATTTTACAGTAATTATCCTAATTAAGTACTGAAGAGCACCTTAACAGTGCAGAACTATCTATACTGAAAGTTTCTGTGAACATTACGAAGGGCAGAAAAACAACACAGCATACTTCCTGCTCTTGTGCCACACTTGATTTAACAAAGGAATTCTGCAGCAGGGCAGTGGGAGGCTTGTCTGGAAACCTGAGCAGAGTTTTCTAACAACTCTGTAAAACTATAAAGAACACTGAGGCAGACACAACTCTTCTGAATGCACAACTGAGTATTCATTGAGTGGAAAAAAAAAAAGGTAAGTTCCCCAAGAACTTCCTTTCAGTCTCTAAAATCACAAATGCCACTTCAGCGACCTAGCTCGTAAGAAATTAGTATCTTCTTGGCTCTCAGTGTGACTTTAACTAGCAGACATTCAGCATCTCCCTTTACTTTCCTCAGTAACCAATATGCATTTAAACATGTCTGAGAAACAGATAACACTAAACCCTTTTTAAAAGGGAAAGTTTTCCGTCAACTCTGTATTGCACTCCAGCAAACGTTTCAATGTAGAATGCCCAGTCATTTCTTATACAAAAGGAACTAAAAACATATGAACGCCAACCCCTGTCACTGTTATTTTGTAGGATGCCGTTAACACAACCTACCCACCCTGTCCATCTATGGTGTTTTCCTCATAAAAAAGATAAAAAAACCCCACCTCTGGCCACTTAAGCTAAGCTGGGGGAAACTTAACCCCTAGGGGAGGACAGCGACAGGGACCTGGCCTGCATGCCTCAGCCACTCCACAGCAAAGCCCGATGAGCTGAAATAAGAGCCCCGAGGCGCCCACA